CCTCTTCCTCCAACCGCCACTAGAGGGAGCCCCTCCTACCCCCACCTGCCACTAGAGGGAGCCCCTCCTCCCCCCACCTGCCACTAGAGAGAGCCCCTCCCCCACAAACTATGGCAGTGACACATGACATTTCCTGGTGCTACGTCTGAGCAATCAAACTCACCCGTCCAATCCAACAGTGACTAGCTCTGTACATAGGCCTCCGGGTCCCCCATACAGTTCTTCACCCCACCAACAGGTCACCCTACAATACAAGAGGGTCCCCAGTACCATCATAGACCTCCGGGTCCCCCATACAGGTCTTCATCCTACCAACAGGTCACCCTACAATACAAGAGGGTCCCCAGTACCATCATAGACCTCCGGGTCCCCCATATATGTCTTCTATCCACCAACAGGTCACCCTCCAATACAAGGGGGTCACCAGTACCATCATAGACCTCCGGGTCCCCCATAAAGGTCTTCTATCCACCAACAGGTCACACTACAATACAAGAGGGTCACCAGTACCATCATAGACCTCCGGGTCCCCCATATATGTCTTCTATCCACCAACAGGTCACCCTCCAATACAAGGGGGTCACCAGTACCATCATAGACCTCCGGGTCCCCCATATATGTCTTCTATCCACCAACAGGTCACCCTCCAATACAAGGGGGTCACCAGTACCATCATAGACCTCCGGGTCCCCCATATATGTCTTCTATCCACCAACAGGTCACCCTCCAATACAAGGGGGTCACCAGTACCATCATAGACCTCCGGGTCCCCCATATATGTCTTCTATCCACCAACAGGTCACCCTCCAATACAAGGGGGTCACCAGTACCATCATAGACCTCCGGGTCCCCCATATATGTCTTCTATCCACCAACAGGTCACCCTCCAATACAAGGGGGTCACCAGTACCATCATAGACCTCCGGGTCCCCCATATATGTCTTCTATCCACCAACAGGTCACCCTCCAATACAAGGGGGTCACCAGTACCATCATAGACCTCCGGGTCCCCCATATATGTCTTCTATCCACCAACAGGTCACCCTCCAATACAAGGGGGTCACCAGTACCATCATAGACCTCCGGGTCCCCCATATATGTCTTCTATCCACCAACAGGTCACCCTCCAATACAAGGGGGTCACCAGTACCATCATAGACCTCCGGGTCCCCCATATATGTCTTCTATCCACCAACAGGTCACCCTCCAATACAAGGGGGTCACCAGTACCATCATAGACCTCCGGGTCCCCCATATATGTCTTCTATCCACCAACAGGTCACCCTCCAATACAAGGGGGTCACCAGTACCATCATAGACCTCCGGGTCCCCCATATATGTCTTCTATCCACCAACAGGTCACCCTCCAATACAAGGGGGTCACCAGTACCATCATAGACCTCCGGGTCCCCCATATATGTCTTCTATCCACCAACAGGTCACCCTCCAATACAAGGGGGTCACCAGTACCATCATAGACCTCCGGGTCCCCCATATATGTCTTCTATCCACCAACAGGTCACCCTCCAATACAAGGGGGTCACCAGTACCATCATAGACCTCCGGGTCCCCCATATATGTCTTCTATCCACCAACAGGTCACCCTCCAATACAAGGGGGTCACCAGTACCATCATAGACCTCCGGGTCCCCCATATATGTCTTCTATCCACCAACAGGTCACCCTCCAATACAAGGGGGTCACCAGTACCATCATAGACCTCCGGGTCCCCCATATATGTCTTCTATCCACCAACAGGTCACCCTCCAATACAAGGGGGTCACCAGTACCATCATAGACCTCCGGGTCCCCCATATATGTCTTCTATCCACCAACAGGTCACCCTCCAATACAAGGGGGTCACCAGTACCATCATAGACCTCCGGGTCCCCCATATATGTCTTCTATCCACCAACAGGTCACCCTCCAATACAAGGGGGTCACCAGTACCATCATAGACCTCCGGGTCCCCCATATATGTCTTCTATCCACCAACAGGTCACCCTCCAATACAAGGGGGTCACCAGTACCATCATAGACCTCCGGGTCCCCCATATATGTCTTCTATCCACCAACAGGTCACCCTCCAATACAAGGGGGTCACCAGTACCATCATAGACCTCCGGGTCCCCCATATATGTCTTCTATCCACCAACAGGTCACCCTCCAATACAAGGGGGTCACCAGTACCATCATAGACCTCCGGGTCCCCCATATATGTCTTCTATCCACCAACAGGTCACCCTCCAATACAAGGGGGTCACCAGTACCATCATAGACCTCCGGGTCCCCCATATATGTCTTCTATCCACCAACAGGTCACCCTCCAATACAAGGGGGTCACCAGTACCATCATAGACCTCCGGGTCCCCCATATATGTCTTCTATCCACCAACAGGTCACCCTCCAATACAAGGGGGTCACCAGTACCATCATAGACCTCCGGGTCCCCCATACAGGTCTTCACCCCACCAACAGGTCACCCTACAATACAAGAGGGTCCCCAGTACCATCATAGACCTCCAGGTCCCCCATATATGTCTTCTATCCACCAACAGGTCACCCTACAATACAAGAAGGCCCCCAGTAACATCATAGACCTCCGGGTCCCCCATACAGGTCTTCACCCACCAACAGGTTACCCTACAATACAAGAAGGTCCCCAGTAATATCATAGACCTCCGGGTCCCCCATACAGGTCTTCACCCACCAACAGGTCACCCTACAATACAAGAAGGTCCCCAGTACCATCATAGACCTCCGGGTCCCCCATACAGGTCTTCACCCACCAACAGGTCACCCTACAATACAAGAGGGTCTCCAGTACCATCATAGACCTCCGGGTCCCCCATACAGGTCTTCACCCCACCAACAGGTCACCCTACAATACAAGAGGGTCACCACTGGTGACACCTACAATGAGGGAATCTCTCCACCGTGTCAGAGTCATGTGTGAGAAGTGTGGGCAGGAAGCTGAGTGATTACCCAATAATCCGCCCTGGAAGGAGGTGAGTCAGACCAGACCACCCACACACCATAAACGCTCAGGGCAGAGTCTGGAGAAGGATCAGCCCACAGTGGTTATAAAGGATCGGAGAAGCCAAATGGATACCAGTGAACACACTTCATTAAACAAAATGTTGTACTACATCCCACCCCCTTTATACAAATAAAAGTGTGGACATGGGAGTCT